ACCAACCAGGCTGCCACAGAGAGAACCGTCACCACCCCTTTTTTCTTGCATATCCCTAATCAGATACCGTACTTTAACATGACTATGTAGGGTCCAAAAAAGCAAAATTTCCAGCCAATAAGAATACTTAGAATAGATTTATTAGAAATATTAATCAAAAAGGACACATTTGTGAATGGATACACAGAATTTGACAGTAAACAAGTAAAAATATTAGGGATGTTCCTCCTGACCCGAGTCATCTGCCGATATCGAGTACCAATCTGATACTACAGTTGTACAATGATGAAAAACACATTGACATTATGAATATATTTAAAAGTAGCGGGTTTGCTCATATTTCAAATTGCTTAGGTCCTCTCTATGCAGCTGTACTGAATGAAGTGCATTCACGGTACAGGGAGGCACGCAGCGCCATGGCACCAGCAGACTACATTTCCCCTGCACATCACCTGTAGCTATCACGGTTAGCTCAGGTCCAGCCGAATGAGAAACCACAATGTTTTGCTGTCCGTCGGAAATGTCTTTGTGTTTATTAACGTATCTTTTACTGTTGGCTGCTCCGTGTTTTAGTTAGAGATGCCGCTGTGAACTGGGACTTAATGCAGATCGATGATTGGCTGCGGCGAAGCCTGAAAGGAAAAAGCCAGAGAAAGTAGTATCCTTTGAAAGCAGCTTATCATGCAGCTCTCTTTTCCAGCATGTTAAATGCTCAGTATGCACACATTACAAGTGGCTGATATACTGCCTTCACTGTCCGGTTTAAAATACCACCAAAATACAGACATACTAGCTCTTCAGTGGAGACACATTAGCTCTGCGTTAGCCTACTAGCTAACAGCTGCATGTTACAGTGTCTGAATCCTCACCTGCCGTTAACTGTGTGACGTAATGGTGTTCGTGTCCATGAAACAGATGCACTTGTTGAGATTAAAAATAAGCCATTGTTGTTCCGTTTGAAAATCTCTTTCTCAGGACGAATTGAAAAATTCAAGTTTGTTGGTTTATAGGGTTGAATCCGATCTTTTTCACACAATTCGGATTCTTTAAAAATCACATGATCGGATCGGAGTATCCCTAAAAATTTAGACACATTGTGCCTTTAAGTAAAATTTTCTAATTTAGCAATTTAATCTTGCAACAAGTTGAAAGTAAAAAAAAAAAAAAAAACTGGACACATTTTCCTGTAGATCCCTGACACATAATGAATCAACCATCCGCCTTAAATGAGCACCATAGAAAACATACTGCTCAGGTAATAGGACGTTCACTGTATCATCAAATAACACTGTAAACAGCAACAACCTATTTGGAGGTGCTGTAGTCATTGTCAGATAAATCATGACATCAAGCATATAGCAGGGCGTCAGCACAAGGTTAGACAACATAATTAACTGTAAGGCATCCAGGGATGTGCTGTGTCACATTGGCACACGCGTACTGCACACATCTTGTATCCAGATACACTCCATCAATCAAAAGATAGCGTGCCAGCAATTAAAAAGTTATGATTCATTTGCAAACAACCTGGAGGACTGATATGGGTGAACAGATGTACCGCAGCACAATTATTATGAGACGGGATGCAGATTTATTAGGAAAATAATACAGGTCCTTCTCAAAAAATTAGCATATTGTGATAAAGTTCATTATTGTCTGTAATGTACTGATAAACATTAGACTTTCATATATATTAGATTCATTACACACAACTGAAGTAGATCAAGCCTTTTATTGTTTCTAATATTGATGATTTTGGCATACAGCTCATGAAAACCCAAAATTCCTATCTCAAAAAATTTGCATATCATGAAAAGGTTCTCTAAATGAGCTATTAGCCTAATCATCTGAATCAACTAATTAACTCTAAACACCTGCAAAAGATTCCTGAGGCTTTTCAAAACTCCAAGCCTGGTTCATTACTCTAAACCGTAATCATGGGTAAGACTGCCGACCTGACTGCTGTGCAGAAGGCCATCATTGACACCCTCAAGCAAGAGGGTAAGACACTGAAAGACATTTCTGAATGAATAGGCTGTTCCTGGAGTGCTGTATCAAGGCACCTCAGTGGGAAGTCTGTGGGAAGGAAAAAGTGTGGCAGAAAACGCTGCACAACGAGAAGAGGTGACCGGACCCTGAGGAAGATTGTGGAGAAGGACCGATTCCAGACATTGGGAGACTTGCGGAAGCAGTGGACTGAGTCTGGAGTAGAAACATCCAGAGCCACCGTGTACAGGCGTGTGCAGGAAATGGGCTACAGGTGCCACATTCCCAAGGTCAAGCCATTTTTAAACCAGAAACAGCAGCAGAAGCGCCTGACCTGGGCTACAGAGAAGCAGCACTGGACTGTTGCTCAGTGGTCCAAAGTACTTTATTTTGGATGAAAGCAAATTTTGCATGTCATTCGGAAATCAAGGTGCCAGAGTCTGGAGGAAGACTGGGTAGAGGGAAATGCCAAAATGCCTGAAGTCCAGTGTCAAGTACCCACAGTCAGTGATGGTCTGGGGTGCCATGTCAGCTGCTGGTGTTGGTCCACTGTGTTTTATCAAGGGCAGGGTCAATGCAGCTAGCTATCAGGAGATTTTGGTGCACTTCATGCTTCCATCTGCTGAAAAGCTTTATGGAGATGAAATTTCATTTTTCAGCACGACCTGGCACCTGCTCACAGTGCCAAAACCACTGGTAAATGGTTTACTGACCATGGTATTACTGTGCTCAATTGGCCTGTCAACTCTCCTGACCTGAACCCCATAGACAATCTGTGGGATGTTGTGAAGAGAAAGTTGAGAGAAGCAAGACCCAACACTCTGGATGAGCTTAAGGCCGCTATCGGAGCATCCTGGGCCTCCACAACACCTCAGCAGTGCCACAGGCTGATTGCCTCCATGCCACACCGCATTGAAGCAGTCATTTCTGCAAAAGGATTCCCAACCAAGTATTGCGTACATAACTGAACATAATTATTTGAAGGTTTACTTTTTTGTATTAAAAACACTTTTCTTTTATTGGTCGGACGAAATATGCAAATTTTCTTAGATAGGAATTTTGGGTTTTCATGATCAAAATCATCAACATTAGAAGCAATAAAAGGCTTGAACTACTTCAGTTGTGTGTAACAAATCTTATTTATATGTAAGTCTAATGTTCATCAGTACATTACAGACAATAATGCATTTTATCGCAACATGCTAATTTTTTGAGAAGGACCTGTAGAACACTGACAATATTGCTAACTTTAGGATATCTTTTAAAAAGAGTTTTAAGAAAATATTTGTAATTTTAAAAGATTTTAACTTTAGTAATTTTAATTATTAAAAAATACATGAATATTTATATTCATTAGAGTGTCGTATTATTGGATAATTTTAATTTTGGAGGAATGCTTTGTTTATAACAAAACTAACCAAATAGACTAATTTGGTTTGGGTTCTGAGGTGCAAAGATATGTAAATCAGTAAAGACAAGAGCTCTACAAATTCTTGTTTTGTGTTTTAGTGCTAGTGAAGGTCCTTAGTCATCAGCACATAGTAATCTTAGTAGGTGCAAGCAAATGCATCTGGGTTTTTTGTGTCTTTTGACTGGTCTTTCTAAAAAAGCTGTGAAGAAACTGCAGCTAGAGTCGTAACAAGAACCAACAGAACCGAACACATCACTCCTATTCTTAAATCTCCATACTGGTTACCAGTAAATTACAGAATCTATTTCAAAGTACTTCTGCTGGTTTATAAATCATCCAATGGCACGGGGCCAGAATACAAGTCAGATCTCCTTCCTATAAATACACTAGCAGGGCTCTGAGGTCAGCTGGTAGAACCCTGGGTCAGAACCAAACAGGGTGAAGCTGCTTTTAGCTACTATGCTGCTCACAGATGGAATCTGCTTCCTTCTAACCTCAAATATGGCCCAACTCTAGAAACTTTAAAATCAAAACCCTTATGTTTTCATCAGCCTTTGAACTACTGTTTTTATGGTGTGCATTCTGCACTATATTTACTCACCCTTTGACTTGAACTTTGTTCCTTTTTAATTTTTACATTGTATTTTCTGTTATGTTGATTTGAATGTTCTTGCTATTCTTACAAATGGAAAGCACATGGAATTGACCCTGAGTATGAAATGTGCTATACAAATAAATTTGCCTTGCCTTTCCTATTTTATAAGCAAAATGTCCAAATGGTCCAGTTATCTTTGCTTGAAGTCCTTAGGACATATAATATATTGTACCTTAATGAAATCCATAATTGTTTAATTATTTGATGTCACCAGGAATTTTTCACACGTTTGTCCCAAAATATTGGTGGTTTAGGTCGTGGAAATGCTAAAATTTGGTGGAAAACAGCAGGATTTGGAAACTCATTAATGTTCTTGATATCCAAATATCTCTCCCCTGATTGGTTAATAGCAGCAGCCTTCTTCTGCAGCCTCCATTTGCTTTTCTTTCTTGGGTTAGAAACATAAAGTTGATGCTTCATCTCCACAAATAACACAAGCCTTATTGTGTTCTGCCATGTTGAGGACTTGCTAATGCTAATGATTGCTCCTACTAGCCAAGATGCACTCTGGTCTTTCCTGGCATGTAAATCACCAACAGCCTTCAAGAGTTGTGAGACAAGATGGGTGAGTCAATGGATGAAAATTTTACAGTGATGTAGATCTATGTGGCATTTACTGACCCAAGTGTTTCTTCATCTATTTTCTTTCAGCGGCTAATGCGGGGAATGGGGTAGAAGACCAGTTTCACATGCAGCATGCATGTGAAACTTAAGAGTAATTGATTGTATTTAAAAAATAACAACTATGATATGTTTCTCAGTTAACCTCATCTTTGAATATTAAATTCAGCGCAGCCTTGTGTAAATGACCCTTAGTAGCCTGAACTGGTCCAACCTGTTTAATTTGTTATAATTAATAATCTCTACCAAATGAACAATAAAAATCATACATTTCCCAACCCCTGCATGTCGCTCTTGAAACAATAAAAAATAACAGGGTAAACTGACCTGCAAGTAAAGTTTGATCCTTCACCATCTTTGCAGGTGGCTCCATTGAAACACAGTGAAACATTTGAAGCAGCTTCTTTGCAGACATCTATATCATTTTCACACGTTTTTCCCGTGTAGCCATCCAGACAGAAGCATGCAAATTTATCAATGAGATCCACACACGAGCCTCCGTTCAAACAGGGGCTGCGGGCACAGTCCTGTAAATACAAGGATGTGCTTGACTATGTGCAAGTTTGGTTTTAACATAAATCTGTAATGGTTAAAATGTAGATCATCAGCTTGATAATTCAACAAAATAATTGGAAAAAGCCTGCAGGCAAATGAGTCTTTCATCTCTGGGGTCCAGAACACAAAAGCTGTGGTTTAAATCAGTTAGGCATTAGACAAGCACTTGCTTCTAATCAGGCATTTGTACAATGTTTACATGATCCTAGTAGCACAATTGACTTATCTTGTACAAAAGTCAATAGAGTTAATGATACCAAAAGGCCATGCAAGGACTACAAAATTCTCCTGACATTTCTCCAGAACACTCAGGTTTATTAATTAAGCTGAACTCACATCAATGTTTGTTTCACATCTGCTGCCGCTCCACCCGGCTTCACAAAGGCAGGTGTAGGAGTCGATGCCATCCTGACATCTGAGAAGGCCACAATAAGCAAAGTTGAAAGATTTGTACTACCATGTGGTAAAAAAATAAAAATAAAAAAAAAGAAGAAATTTGTATTCAAAATATTCTGTATCGGTTGGGCACTGTGTTGCACACTTTAGCCATTAGCCAGCAACAACACATGTTGTTGTATCCAAACTCAAGGGATGGATCATCTGAATACCCTATCTATGACCTTCCCGGTTCATATGGGCTAACGCCAGTAACAGACCGGGTCTTTCGATGGCCGGTACAACCGGAAATGACCTGGATGGTCTTACATGGTGCATGTCCTGTAACCTAGCTATGGAATGCCAAAGTGTTCAAAATTAAATAATACATCATGTATCTACATAAACAAATTCTAGACAATTATGTAATGTGACAATGAAATTGTGAAATAACAGAATGTTTATAAAAATCTAAGTTAAATATAGTAAAATACATTTCATTGTTCTATTAAAATGTGTACATTACTATAAAACTTTATTCAGGGGAATCCTCTCACAATAATGCAGTATTATTAAATGAGCCATTTGGAAAAAAAACTATTTCGAAATACATTTTGGGGTATTGCAGTAAAATTCCTTCTTAAATTTTTATTTCAATAAGCACATTTTAAAGGAAGAATGAACAATATTAAATAATATTCAATTCAGATTTTTACTTAGCATTCCGTTATTTCCCAAGCCTGGCAAGCCATCCTATATGTGTGAATATATAGTCTGACCATGACTAATATCTCGCTTGTGGGGCGGTATCTACGGTTGTCTTTCAAACCATCGCCACATGCTATTGGACAACAAGCAACGTGACATACTCATCACTACAGATGCCAGTAAACGGGGCAGTCCGCAAACACTGTAGAAGAAGATGCAAATAGATCCTTTTTCTAAATAAAGGACTGCTGTTGACTAAAAGAAAACATTCATAGTTGATACACTTGGTTGAATCATCCTGCCCACTAAGCCGATGGAGTGCTGTGATTGGCCCACGAAATAGATAGAGCATATAATTGTTATTGGCAAGAAACAAGACTGTTTGGAGCATGGCTAGACCGTCCTGCAGAGCAAAATCATTTTGCTACTGTCTGTCTAGATTTCTTGGCTTTTACAATTTTCCTGTCAGACTAAACAATTGTCTAGTATTTATTTTAATAGATATATATTTCATAATGTATTATTTACTTATTTAATTTTGGAACACTTTGGAGATCCATACCTAGCAACTAGGGTTGGGCAATAAATGGAAAATTTATCTTATCGAAATTTCTGACTCTCAAGAGACAATTTTTCATGACAATAAATTCTATAATTAAAAAAAAATGAAAAGATGTGTGTAGTTTGGCAACATGGTGGCGCAGTGGTTAGCACTGTTGTCTCGCAGCACGGAGGTTGCAGGTTCGAAACTCGGCTGCGACCTTTCTGCGTGGAGTTGCGTGTTCTCCCCATGCATGCGTGGGTTTCCTCCGGGTACTCCGGTTTCCCCCACAGATCACAACATGCCCTATAGGTTATAAAATGTAAGTCGCTTTGGATAAAAGCGTCTCCTAAATAAATAAACATAAACATTCATGCCCTTTTTAAGAAGTTGCGCCACCTTGAATTATGTAAAAATGTGACTCAATGTTATACACGTGACAGCCCCATCTAGTGGACAACTTTTGTTTCTGCGCATACCTACAGCCATCCTCTATCGTTATCGGGGCGAACTCTTCAATATATCGTGATTTAGACTTTAGGCCATATCGCCCAGCCCAATTAGCAACCGTGACATTGCTAACTGAAGTGAACGGCGCCCGCCAGACGAGCTTCCTCTATCCATGGCCACAGATCTTTCCTATCAGCAGACAATGCAGACAAGTTATTTGAAGCAAAAATCACACTGATTTCGGTGTTTTTTGCTGCTTAATTCGTTCAAAGTATTTTGAATGTAGTATTTCCCCTTTATCCAAATTGTTATATTTTCAGCACGCTGCACACTACAGATCTTTGCAGCATAAGGCATTTGGTAGCGGCTGTGTTGGCAAAAGATGCAATTAAACATTATTCGAGACCATTGGTGTACAACTTCCATTCTTTTTTTTTTATGGGTGAAATAAAACACCTGTACCTCCCATGAAGACAAGGTGCTGACATGCATTCGTCAAAGTTGGTCTCACAGTGGAGACCGATGAAGCCATCAGAACACCAGCAGTGGTATCGATTAGGCCCGTCGATACACCCTCCTCCGTTTTGGCATGGGTTTGAAGCACACTCATCGGCATTTTCTTCACACCGTGATCCTAGGAACGAAGCACATTTTAATATCACATTAGGAATCACTTTGGTTTAAAAAAATATATACATTCTTTTGTTTAGAAAGCAAACGCGTATCAAATAGCTCCAAGGTAATGAGGGATACAGACTATGTTCCATTAAGAAGAGGAGTTTGATTTCGTCTGAAAGTTGGACTCCGTTCAATTTAAACAGCTTGAGAATATGTTTAGGTGCAGAAATTTAAAGTAAAACAAAATTTGACAAATACTGGCGATAACGTAAATCAAATACTGGAAAAAAAAGGTGTGAAAGTACATAAATATGGTAAATCTACCTTCCTCATCCCCATTCATGAAGTGCAATTTGCAGTTTACTAATATGATGTTATGGACGCCAGCAGGTAAAAGTTTCAAACTATTCACATCAAAGCGTTTTATGCCACAAAGCATAGTGATGGATAAGTAGAAGCTGGAAAATCAAATACAATCAAAAGCAAAATTGTTGTGAAAAATGATGCTCTTTGACCTTTGATTTACTCATCTTTTCATCTTCAGACAAAAATGAGCCAGCAAAAGGGTATTCTCCTTCAGAAAATGAAACATTCATTTAATAGACTAGATCCTTGAAGAGCAGAATCCTGCATCTTGGACCAGCCGTGGGTATAGAATCCACATAAAGTGGCCTTAAGCAGCACGGCGCATTTCCACTCTCTGATCTCTCTAACCTTTGATATGGAGTGATCACAGCCTGGCAGCCATGGTAAACATGAGCCTTACAATAAAGAAATTCTGTCTTTTAAAATCCAGTTACATCTTACTCTCACATTCAGCTCCTTACTAACCACGGCACAACGTGAATGGTTGAAACCATTGCTTTGCAATATTCTGTGTAAAAACTACTTAATTTTTTTAATGTCAGTGGTCACATAATTGTTCTGAGAATACAGAAAATGTTAAAACTCGGATGATTTAGAATCCTCAGCAGTAGAAGTCTGTATTCCTAGCATGTTTAATACATTCGTAATATTAAACAAAACAAAAAAGAAATCTAAAAAACTGTAATGTTTAAATTAGAGATTTAAGCTATTTATTACACAAACATCGGGAACGTTCACCGGCTTCAGCTTCTCAAGAGCGAGCACATCCTGCTTTTATCCATTTTTGATGACTGCAAATGTCTTCGGGCTTTAGTCTGCCGATAAAGTCAACACTTTGAAGTCAAAAAATCTCAGGCATTTTTTTCTTTTCCAGTAAAGAAAATACAACCCTTATGTCAACAATAAGTGCAATTTACACCAGGGGTGGGCCACAATTTGTTTTCTTTTCCAAAGGCCATGTAGATGTTGCTAAAGCAAATGAAGAGCCACCGAAAAACATCCAACCCAAATCCGAGGACAGAAAGATTCAGGACTTTTTTCTTTATTCTGACTAAAACAAGTTTGTAAAACTGGAAGCTCGGTTGTCTCAGTTTACCAAAAGGCACCTCCTTAATACATCAAACAAACTGTGAGCTGACACCTATGAGAAAAGATTTAGATGTGTGTGTCAGCGAGTGTGTGTTGTAGCTACTAGTATGCGTGGTCAAGGGACAGAGTGGGAATTGTTTTTTCTGTACTGTTTTAGGGGAAAAAAAGTGATTGTAGCCATCATGTCATAGTCAGATGTAAATTTAGTTCTGCTGTCAATCAAACGTACGACAGACCCAACACTGCTGTCAGATGAACGTTATCCAAACCCTCGCCCAAGTTTTGATTTACTTTTCTGTTTGCCTTCCAGTGTATGTTCCTGAAACCTAAATTAGAAACATCAGAAATGCAACTTTGACACACACACACGCATGCACACAGACACACGTACACGCGCGCGCGCGCACACACACACACACACACACACACACACACACACACACACACACATATGAACTTTTAGTTACACGTGTGAATTAATATTGTTTTTAAACTTTTCCGCCATTCCAGCAGCTGTATTATTTCCAATAAGCAACACCTACAGTTTAAAATAGGTACAGCAAAATCTGTTGTATCTTTAAGTGTAAACAAAAACGGACGTATTGACCAGGGTTGTGAATCACGTGTTGGATCATGGTACGATATTTTATCGGTATGGTGGACTGTGGTTTGATGCTTGTCGATATCACAAATTCAGTCACCATACCATTGTGATTTGATTAATTTAGGAACCAACGATCGATAGGAAGCAACATTACCAGTGATTTGGCAAACTTTCCCAGAAGAGCAATGATTTAATCGCTAACTGCGCTAGCCTCTTCACTTTAAAAGTTCAGTAATGTGCATGAACATGTGGAATACAGCATGTGAGTGGAACTTCAAAATAAAACAATTAAAATAAAGTCAGTGTCCATCCATCTATTTTCATCCGCTCCTCACCAGGGAGGCGTTCAGGAGGCATCCTTACTAGATGATCGAGCCACCTCAACTGGCTCTTCTCGATGTGGAGGAGCAGCGGGTCTACTCCAAGCCACTCCTGGATAACGAAGCTTCTCACCTTATCTCCAAGGGCACCCAGTGGAGAAAACCAATCTCGTTCTTTCAGCCACTTCCCAAAGCTTGTGCCCATAGGTGAGGGTAGGAAGATGGATCGAACGGTAAATCAAGAGCATTGCCTTCCGGCTCAGCTCTCTCTTCATCACGACAGATCGGTTCAACGCCCGCATCACTGCAGACACAGCACCAATCCGCCTGTTGATCTCGCACTCCATCTCTCTCTCTCATGAACAATACCCTGAAATTCTTAAAACTCTTTCACTTGGGGCAGGACCTCATCCCTGACCCGGAGAAGGCATTCTACCCTTTTCTGACTCAAGACCATGCTCTCGGATTTAGAGGAGCCGATTCTCATCTCAGCTGCATCACATATTGACCACATTGCAGCTTTAAAGTCTCTTTCCGAAGTATTTCTGTTATCCGATGGCACCATCTAGTGGCTGACAAGCATATCACACAAATATTCTCTGGAAGCGATTTTTTTAAGATGGCCATTTCACGTTTCTAGTTTATACACGTGCTTTTGTAGCTGACAAACAGAGCTAAAACACGTTGTTTTACAAGTATTATTCTCATGTCATATTGTGTGTTCATGTATTTTGAAGTGTTATTTGTCCGTGAAAAGTTAATCAACTCTGTATCAGCCAAGGTACGTCCTTATATTTGAAGCATCTAAGCGGTATTGGTTAGTTCTGGTCGGCCTATTGCACGGAGCTCTGCGGGGCAGGGGGCGTGCTTAGCAAAAAACAAAGACGTACTGCTTACATTATATCACAGTACATGATTAGACAATCCCTTTTACAGATTTCTGAAAGATTATACATAATTTCTGAAAGTAGAAAACTCCGGAAAGCTACTTTAATTTCATTAATGTGCAACCAGCTTTTTAGAATAAAGTGAGGGAACATGTGCATTCAAAGACATAACTCCTCTGTATTAAGTCAGCTGAATCTATCAACACAGGTTGCTGCTGCTAATATCCAGCAGAGCTGAAGGAAAACTAAGTTATAAGTTGAGGAGTTTTAATGATGTAATGGACACTAACGGCTGGACTCTGCAGAGAGCTTGTATTGGAGCACAAAGGTGGTGGAAATGGAACACCACAAGCTTTTTCTCTGTGTGCTAGAAGCACACATTCAGACTGGGTCTGCAACTTATTTCAAGCTTGCAGCAGTCTGCCATCCTCCACTTGGACATGAAGAGGAGGGCATGCTGGTAGGTAGAAAAATACATTTTTAGAGGAAACATGCAGATTCTGCATCATTACGGGCGTAAGAAAAACCTAACGGTGATGTCAATTACCTAATGTTACTGCAGCATTATAACCCTTTTGTTCAAGCAGTTACTCCATTTATTTATGAGTGGAACTCAAGCAAGTAAGACGAAGATACCTGCTACCAAGATTTAGCACATAGTGAGAACAACTTCATGTAATTCTAGGCTCAACTGGGCTGGAGGTCAGACTTGTTTACTGCACTGAACAGATCCTTGTGGTTCATAATGAGAATGTATATCCATTCATCGAAAATTCAGCAGCTATAGTGCCTCAAAAAAGAAGAAGTTCAAATATTGATTCTGTAGTAGATGTAAAATTACCAAAAAGGTACAAATGAAGAAACAGCTGAATGCTCCTTTTGGTGATGTGTACACAAAAAACTGTAGTCCACGAGGATAAAGTTTATGAATATTAGAGTTTAGTTTGATCAAGAAGGCCTTGAAACCTTTCTCCTGTGTGTGTGTGTGTGTGTGTGTGTGTGTGTATTAGAGAAGACAAAAAACTTTTAAGGAGACATGAGGTTATTTCTTCATAAGTTATAATAGTTGTATGGACTTTACAAAACATGTTCATGAAGTTCTTAGAATCCCTCTCATATCAGCAGCTTTATTCTCAACAGTTTCAGAACCTTCCAGAAAGAGCAGTTTCAGGGCTCTGTCACTTTCAAAAGAAAAAAAAAGCAATTTTTTCAAGTTTGGAGTGTTGATAGAGGCAGGGGAGAGCAACACGGCAGCACAAAAAGATGTAAAAGGTGAGTTTTGTATAACATGTCCCCTTTAAGTGAACAAATAACAGAAATCTGATAACAGAACCAAAAAGTCACAAAACCTCAGCAAATTTTGCACAGCCAGTAACTGTTCCTGCATTGGTAATTTAAATACTAGAGGAAAGCCAAACCATCATTCAACCAGATAATGGTAGCTGCTTGATTACTAAAACCCAAAAAACCTCAATGTGGAATTTTGGTATAGTATGGATATTAGTAAAGCAACACTAAATAGGTTTCCTGCTTCTCTCTCCTACTGGTTGAAAGCAGAAATTCCATCCCATCTTGAACAACCCTGCCACGACTACGCTAATACAAGCCAACTGATACTAAAATAAGCAACAAAATAAAAAGATCCACACTTTTGGACAATAAATATTATTACTTACAAGCCCAGCAGCAACAAAGCCAGGTCACCATCAGTCTGTGATTCCGTAGCCTCCTTCAGCTCCCTAAAGGTCTAGACCACGTTGATGTTCGCTCTGGTTTTAGCTCTTTGCTTTGCCTTCCAAAATACTACTCTCATACTTTTACTTGAAGGTTCTACCATGATGCCAACAAAAACGCAAAACTATTCTTCTTCCTGTGCTTTTTATTGACGTCAGCAAACTGAGAAAGCTGCTAGTCTTCATATTAGCTACAAGAACAGTAAACAGCTATTGACATAAAGCAGGTTGAGACCTCTTAATGTTCTTTCAAGTATCATAAAACTATTAGGCCCAGGTTGCTGTCCAATGTGAAGTTGGTGAAGTTTCTGGCTCGAGAACCACTGAAACCAGTTTGAAAGCATTAGCTTAAAGTGTTAAAAACTCTTTAGTGTTGCTTTTGTTAAAAACATTCATTATGCAATAGCTTACCTACTAAATAGGGAAATATGAAGTTAATAAATAGTGTCCCAATACAAGACGAATATGGTACATTATTTTTAAAGTGACAATCTCTGGAAATATACATAAAATATTGTTTTAAATTAATTAAAAGATGCCCAGTTGTTGAAAAATATTGGTGGCTTCATAATGTCAAGGCACCTCGCAAGGCCAGTCGCCTTGACATTGAAAAACACCCTAACCCCCAAATTCCACTACCTCCGCTCCGCTCCGCTCCGCCCCCGCCTTCCGCAGCCGCTCGCTTCCGAACTCAGTTTTACTGGTACCCGCTGTACAGCGGCTCCACTCCGGTGCGGAGACCTGAGGTGGGCAAACAAGCATGCGCGGGATTTTCGAGATCTTGCGATACAGTCCGATCAGTAAACGCGGAAGTTATATCCAAACACCCGTTGTGTGGGAGAAGCATCGAAATGAACTGTTTAATCTGCCCATCATTTGTGTTGAGAGATCAGCAGTGCTTGGATCAACAAGGTGTGACTACTTTGATAGTGGAAACTGTATTTATGGCTTATTTTTGTGCATTTAAACTTCAGCCGCCATTGATAGTTGTTAAAAGTTGTTAAACCTGTGCATATGAAACAAAAAACGCCTTTTGTTTATCGATTTATTGTGAAAAACGGAAGTTGTGCTTGCTCCTTTTCCTGATGGGCGGTTGTGATTTCTGTCCATTGACTGCGGAGGTGTTCCGGCGTCCAGCAAAAATAGGATTGACTCTATTTTTGCCGGACGCCGGAACAGAGGGTGGCGCACTGCGCCACACTGCCACAGCACGGCCGCAGTAGTGGAATTGCTCTGATTGACTACAACGGGACCGATTTTGCTCCGGCGTTCGTGTCGGAGCGGAGCGGAGGTAGTGGAATTTGGGGGTATGTCTCTGGGCAACACCATATTGGATGCCATGTTTCCTTCTATGGGAGCCTGTGAGGACAAAATGCATTTAATGACTTGTAACAAACAGTTACAAAACTTTCATCATTCATAAACGTTGTTGTTTTACACATTTACCTCTTTCTCATTTGTTGCCGGTGATGAAAGGAAATCTGATGTATTGTTATTTTGCTGGGGGTTGCTCTCCCAGGGATTTTTAACCCTAATGGCCTTCCGTTGGTAAGGTCTTACTTGAACACAAAAATGAGGCTTTCTTGCAATGATTTAGGTATGTACTGCCCCATAGCGCCAGGGAAAATACACACTGTCCCTTTAAGCATTATGTAAAATCTGTTTAGAGGAAATAAGGTTTTCATTGTGAGAATTTTACTCATTGTACATGAAAATGTGTAGACACAGACGCTAAGGAATACATTAACATTTGATAGAGATAGTTTAATTATTTACACAATCAGGTAAGACTGGTTTGATTAAACTCCATCTCTAAGGCAGTGGTAAAGGCGAACATAATAGCTGTGAGTTACACAGTAAAAATTAATCAGACGGAAGCCTAAACAACAACAAAAACATTGCCAGGGCTGAACTGTCATCATCCAGCAATGTGCTGATTGCAGAGTACAATCACTCAGGGGAGCCCGCTCACTAATGATGGGTGACGAAGAGAAAACAGAAGGTGATGAATACTGTACTTAAACTGTGATTTATATAAACAAGATCAGCCATTAATCATGTCATCACAGTGACTTATGACCCCCCCGAACACAGCGCGGCACCTACAGTATGTACAGTTAAAAATTACTGGGACTACAGCGCCTCTTGAGCCAGATTACTTAAATTATGATCCAACTGCTGAAATCTGAGGAGCTGCCAAACCTGTCAGAGCTTGCTTTACAGTTTACAGTGTGACACACACACACACACACACACAGAGCAAAATGACATTGTGATTAAAAATAAAACTAAATTAATGAGATTAGGTGTCAAGAGAAGAATTGCCAAATATTACACACCTGAAAAATGGAGATTTAATAAACCTGGTCCTTTGATCTCACCGTTTACCCTCAAAATGAGTCATACGGATTTTTGGATGTGCAAAATCTAACATGAAAAGATTTGGTCACATTTTACTCATATTCAACTATTTTATTTACAAAAAAAAGGGTTTCAAGTTTTAAATTACTTTGTATGTGTTGGTGTTGCTTTGCAACCACAAGTTGAAATCCCATTTATTAAAGCAGCAGCAAAGACGAAAGCCTGCATAAAAACTCAATATACGTGATGATGCAGGCGCAAATAAAGTGTCATCGTAGCTTAATCGCATCACAAGTGAACAGATATATTACACCAGGCTGATTTATTAGTAAGCAGCCTCAGATCATACAGTGAAAATTATTTTCGGCGTTTGATATGCCAAAAAGTACCCCTTGAATTCCCCGGTGGCTAAAGCAAATAAATGTTAATACCGTGAAGTGACACAGTGAGTTACAACATTTGAGCCACCACAATACATCACAGCACCAAGCCGTGGAACAGTTCAACAAGGCCATAAAAACACGTCCAGATGAGTCAATCTGAGATGAATATCACCAGAACAGAAGTGAAGTAGCTTTATTTTTCCTGCATGTGTGTTTTTGTGAAAAGTTGCTGCTACACATGTTACTACAGCAAATATTTTGTACGAGTTCTGGTTGGTTTGAGCCAATCCGAACTGTATCCCCGGGCTGTTCGCTCTCTTGGGGAGTGCTGTTTCCTCAGATGAGCTTAGAGCAAGAGAAAAAAGTAATGACTTGTACCGTGCTGCGTGTAGGCCTAATAATAAAAGCTGCATCTGTGGGAATTGGGCCGTGCGTGTCGGGTTCTGCTCTCCAGAGTCGCAATACCTCAGAGATTTCCCCTCCCCACCCCACCCCTCTGAACTGGAGAAGGATAAATTGATGATACAGTGGGGAAGACAAATGAAATTAATCTTTGGAGTACCTGACAGGAATCGGCTTTAGATAGCGCGCCGAAACGTCTACACACATGAATACACTTGATCTAAAATAGCTCAAAAATCTGTCCAAGCGGAGGATGACAGAAAGGGATTAAAATAAAACAACAATAGTGTTCTGGAACTAAACAGGCTGATAAAACGAACTAAGTCAACTCCGATACGACGTCGGCATCAGATAAAGCAGGTGACATGAATTTATCTCTTGTTAGCTGCATTAAAATGAAGGGACGGCATCTTGCAGAAGCAGGCTGGCTAATTAAAATCAGGCATTGTAAAGCCGAGTCAGATCTGTGTCAGGGCGGCTTCAATAGCACGCAGTCACACCAGTCATCACGATAAGCTTTTTAGACTCTCATATTGATCTCCACGTCGCCTCAGGGCGAAAACGGGTACCTGTGTATCCGGGCCGGCAGACACACTTGAAGCCTCCAGGCGTGTTGATACAGATGCCTTCGTGCAGGCAAGGTGAAACTTCACACTCGTTCACATCCAGGTCACACAGCACTCCAAAATAACCAGTAGGGCAAATGCACTGGAACCTAAGGAGGATGAGATAGCACTAAATGATTGGAGATGAAATCCTGCAGGGGACGGAGGAGTCAGACAGTAATATCACGCTTTTTATGGTTATTCCTTTACAATTTATTTAAAGTAATTATTCATCTTAATGAAAACAATCTAGGAGACGCACCAAAAAGAAAGAATGACGACGAGTGTTTCATGGTTTGCTGGTTAATTTTCGACAAAATCTATGAAGTTTCCCAGTGTGTATGTTATTATAAATGACGTTAACTGGGATTTTACTAAAGGGAAAAGCTCAGTCTGTCCAATGATATGGCTTATTCAATTCAGATCCCTCGCTGAATCCAATTCCACCTAACCACACGTCTCAGAGGAGACAGTAATCGTGTTTCAGAGTTAATAACAAATCACACAATTAGCCACCTCCAAGCTAAAATCTAAACCAATATTTTTGATTAAATGACTTCATCAGGAAAGTTTCTTATTATACAATTTCTGCAATATTCTGAACAATGTTTCCTGTCAGATCTTCCAAATCTCTCTTTAGGGTAGCGATGTGTCGGTCGCGAACGAACCGGCTCTAAGAGCCGGCTCTATGAAGTGAACGATGGGAGCCGGCTTGTCATTGGGAGCCGTGCTTTGGTGAAAGCTACAGGCCAACATGTGTAACTGCGTGTCCAGACTGTCCACACACAGAGCAGTAGGGGCGGGGAAGAGGGAGGATCAGACTCAGACACACAGCAGAGCACATGCGGGTGGAGGGAGACGAGAAGGAATGAGGAAGAAGAAAAAGGTGAGCGCGAGAGAGGAAAGTGCGACAAAGATGGTGAGAAATGAGCGCCAGCAGTCAGAAAGTTGAGATTTCTTAAAGTGTTCAGTTATTAAATCCAAATAAATGATAAATATTTGATATATTGCTTTATTTTACATTAGTACATCTTTTTACATATAGTTTAGCATTATTTTTGGTGATAAATATACTTTACACAACAGAAAATCTGAGGAGCCACTTGGGAGCCGAAAGAGCCGGCTCTTTTTGGTGAGCTGAGCCAAAAGAACTGGCTCTCTAAGAAGAGCCGGAATTCCCATCACTACTTTAGGGGGAATTTTTAATATGATATTCTGGTTTCACACACGAACAGATTACAGTGTTTATGTTGTTTACTTCTGCAAAGCCACGTTTGAAGAAGTATGACTCATCATCACAGTGGAAACTGACTTGCTTGTATCAGGGAGGAGGAGCAGGTTAGGCGGCTTTAAAACCCATCTGATGTGAACTCCCAGGACTGGGCAAGAAGGCAGCGCACCCGGGGAGGGTCAGGTCTCAAGGGAACAAAGTCATAACGGGAGACAAACTAGAGACAAATCATTTGGGGCTCAAGTTGGCCCTGGGACGTCTCTACCCATCTGTCCGACTAAGCCCGGAAGCCCCGGGGCTCCCATTACGCACAGCAAAAAGAAGCACCGGTGGAGTAAAGACCAATCAAGATACATGATGCGTTCCTCCTGAATTCACTCTCTGTCTTCAGAAGGGAAGCTTATGTGTGTCAAGGATGAGAACGGGCTCGTTATATAAAGTGAAACGCTTTGAAGTGAAACACCACTGCCTCACATGTTTTCTTTAGAAAACAGTTTTGTTTGTTTCAAAACAGAGCCGTGAATTTCGTTGTGCCTGGCTCGCGCTGATATATGCATTTATTTAAACACATACTTGGAAAAACAGCTGAGGTGCAAAGCTGCACAGAAATTAAACAAATAAAAGTGAATAAACACATAAATTAGGTTCACATTTACTTGTTCACAAGGTCCTGACAGATGCCGGCGTTGCTGCATGGGGTGGAGGCGCACTCATCGATGTCTTCCTCACAGTGAAGGCCAGAAAACCCAAGCGCACATTCACACCTGGAAGAGAACAATCTTTAATATTGACATTTTGTCTCAGGTGTAAAATAGAAAGTCTATGGTTTCTGCAAGCTCACAAACAGAGTAAAAAGTAAAAATCTATGAGATCTTATTGATATTATTCATGCATCATTTTCAGTCTGATTGCCCATTCTGTACAGTAAAGCAGGCGTCTGAATTTGTGGGTTTGATCAAACTTGAAGCTCAATTTAAAAAAAGAAAAAAAAATAATAATAATGAGACAAGAATAATGAAGGCAGAGTGAGCTCCTGACAATTTGACCTAATTTTAGTGTGAGAACAAATATTAGCTCAGAGTGATTTACTCTAGAAATGACAGCATGATCTGACACACACACACACACACACACACACACACACACACAACCAAGGCGCATGCATGCACGAGCACACACACTCACTCTTAAAAGACACACACAATTAAAAGACACACACACACACACACACACACACACACACACACACACTTGAGACACACAACCAAGGCGCATGCATGCACGAACACATACACTCACTCTTAAAAGACACACACAATTAAAAGACACACACACACACACACACACACACACACACACACACACACACACACACACACACACACACACACACTTAAGACACACACAGATAAGGCACACACACACACAACACATGCAAGCACACACTTAAGACACATTTAGACACACACACGTGCTTGCACACATGCACAAACGTATGACACACACCCAACACACACACATACACGCACCCACACAAACACACACTTAGATGACACACACGCACACACTCACTCTTAAGACACAAACAGACACACACACACACACACACACACACACACACACACACACACACACACACACACACACACACACACACACACACACACACACACACACACACACACACACACACACACACACACACACACAAGAGATATATTTCATGAGTATCAGTGAACTAACTAAATAAAAGGCTGACTCAAAGGTTGCCTTGTTATGATTGTACCTGTAACTATTGACCTGGTCCACACAGCCTCCCTGGTTTTGGCATGGACTTGAGCCACACTCATCGGTGTCAATTTCACACAAACTTCCTTCAAATCCTGTAAGATAAATGAGATGGTCATGGATCAGCAAACCTCAGTACATCCCAAAAACGACAGAGCTGATGATAACAAAGGCCCCAGTGAATGCCATTTTAATGGAACTAGTAGCCCCTGTAGCATATCTCATCTTCCAGCTCTCAGTGCTCACTGTTTCCCTCTGAGAGTGTCTAAGTCTAATAATACTATAGTGCCACAGACAGATTGGTCTGAGGGTTAGTGGTTTGGGGTTTGGGAGGTGTGTGTGTTTGTGAGCGTGGCCTCGCTGTTGTGTAACTGTGTATGTGAGCAAGAAAACTGGAGAGCAGGGGGACATCTTGTTAAGTTAGGGTAAGAGGGAGCAGCTAAGCCCAAGAGCTCTTTTGCCCTCGTTCATTAGAGGGCTGAGGGGCAGGATGGCTAAGCAGATCAGCACGGATGTTTTGTTGTACGTTTGGAGGCAGCCTGGAAGCTTGTACTGCTCAGCCTGTCGGAGGTATTCTACTAGGTCTTGATTGCTCAAGCAGAAGACGTCCTCCTGCCTGCCAGATTAGCATCTACAATAAGCACAAGTGTATTTATTTGAGTTATTAAAAGTAAATATGTAAATGAAAACCAAAGTTAAGTGTGTAGAAACATGTGAGCCACATAGGCAACCAGTTAGATAGGAATAAAACCTTTTACTGAATAGTTAATGACATTCCATCAATGTGGGATGACTTGAAACAAGCTAAATGTAAGTTATCGGTCATGCTACGAAAAATTATTTAATGAGTTCAAATAATCCCACAACACCCCCATGGACCTGTAGAAAGCAAAAACACAAACAACCAAACCGACTATAGCTCATTTACACAAAGATGTATTTACTTAAGTTACAATCAGATCATTAACTCATTCACTGCCAACGACGACTAAAATCGTCATTTGCATTTTTTTTTACTGTTTGAGCATCAGAACGAGCCCCCGCGCTGAGAGAACAAACATCTCAGCCCTGAAGCCGATCTTCATCCGCATATGTCCCAGATCACATGATCAGGAAGCAGACCATCCATGTGTTAGGAGATCGTTTTGGGCCGTTCCTGTAAAAAAAGTGAGGCGCGAACCGGAAAAGCGTCTGTCGATCACAATTCAACAACGGATTATGAAAGAACGGATAACGCTCGAAACACGCGGCTTCTTCCTGATGTAAGAGGTGAGTCTCCGCTTTGTTTTGGTTGTTTTGGCATCGACATCATCCTAGCGCGCAACGTTCTGTGACTCTTAAAAAAACAGTAAAAGTGGTGAGAAACGCTGGCAGCGAAGGCCGTTAGCGATCAGGAAACGACTGGCAGTGAATGAGTTAAAACAAATGAGAGCATATTTTCAGATTTACTGTTTGATCAAATCAACTTCAAATCAAATCAACTTTATTTATATAGCACTTTTCATACAAAAAATGCAACTCAAAGTGCTTTACAGATTAAAATGGCCCCATAGATCCCACATTCCCATCCCAGCCCCCCTCCCCAAGTATAAAACAATTAAAAATTACAGTTCCCCTCCCGCACCCAACTTCCAAAGTGGACATACAATCACCCGCACACTCGTCCATGCACACACACACACACACTCGTGAACACCAGAGGAAACAATAGGCTGACTTCAGATGGGTCAGGTAATGAACGACACATCATCAGCGGAGCCATCTGCCCTGGCAGCAACAGATCCACGGCAGCAGCCAAGACACCGGCCCATGACGCCCAGTGGCGTAGGGCAGAAACCCCCACCAGTGCCCGGGCACTACCCGGGGAGCGCCCTGGCCGCCGCCGCCCCTGACCACCGGCCCCAAGGCAGAGGGCTCCGCAGAGGAAACACTGGAGGATTTAAGATATATAACATATAAAATAATAAAAGCTAATAATGATAAAAAGTAACTGATAAAAAGTGATTATAAAGACAGTAAAAGAAAACATAATCATGTAAAAACACTAAGATGTAGATAAAATTATAAAAATAATAAAAGAGATAAATATGTATTTATAGATAAATAGTAATCAGTTAAAAGCTAAGCTAAAAAGGTGGGTCTTGAGCCTATTCTTAAAAGCCTGGACGTTCCCTTCGGCCCTGAGGTCCTCCGGCAGCCCGTTCCAAAGGCGAGGGCCGTAATACTTGGAAGGACGCCTCGCCGTGGGTGTGAGTCTTAACTTTAGGGATAACTAGGAGACGACTGCCAGAGGAGAGCAGAGACCGCGAGGGTTTATACAGTAAAAGCAGTTCTGAAAGATAAGAAGGCCCAAGACCATTAAGACACTTAAAAACATTAAAAGAACCTTAAAATCGATCCTGAAACATACGGGGAGCCAGTGCAGTGATTTTAAAACCGGAGTGATGTGCTCCCGCCTCCTTGTCTTCATCAGGACACGTGCTGCTGAGTTTTGTAAAAGTTGTAAACCTGAGATGCTCTTTTTGGGGAGACCAGAAAGCAGCGCATTGCAGTAATCAATTCTACTGGTTATAAAAGCATGCATCAGCGTCTCCGTATTGGCCCGAGAGAGAAGAGGTCGGACTCTGGCGATATTCTTAAGATGGTAAAAACCTATTTTTGTGATGTTTTTAATGTGGGGGATAAAAGTCAGCTCAGAGTCGAAAATAACGCCCAGATTCTTCACTTGTAGTGATGGATAAAAAGACATTGATTGTAGTTTAGGTAAAAGTTTCTCTCTCTGGGCCTCAGGACCGATGACTAAAACTTCAGTTTTGCCTTGGTTTAGCTGGAGAAAGTTTTCAGTCATCCATGATTTAATATCTAAAATGCAATAAAAAAGTGTTTCCATGATCAACCAATCAGTCAGATTTATAACTCATGGGCATTTTCTTTGGCCTTTTTCACAACCCCAGGGTATTCTAGTAGTCAGGCTGGCCAATTTCCATACGATATAGATAGTGCTTATCAGTGACATTCAGTAATACTAAACATGGCAGCAGATGGGAATGAAATACCCTACTGCGCAGAAGTTTGGGATCACAGGGAAATATTATTTTCTGTGTGAATAGGGAATGCAGTAAATGACTGTCAGTTGTTGGAGGTAATCTGATGAGATTGTGGCTCCTGATTCTGGGAGCATCATAATTCTGGCTGACTTGTTCCATAAATGTTGGTATGTCTATACGTATTTGGATTTTTCGGTATTGAACGTTTGGTTAAGCACAGATGTAGAGCTGTCGGGGGCCTGCGTCCCTTTGAACACCTGATTTACCTGGTCAACATGGGTTATGTCGGCACCAGGACCACTGTTGACCAGGAAGACCAGAGCTGAGCAGCTGTGAAATTGGACAGTCTTGTCTTGGTATATGTCTTGTTGCCTAGCAACTGCAATAACACAATGAGATAAACTACACTTAGTAGAAATACCAGCTACACCTCTACTGAGAAGATATTTTCTACAGTTGGAGACATTGCTAACAGCGGACAATGTGGACAAATTAATATTTCAAACAAAAACATGGAGGATGCATGAACCCGTAAAAGCCACAAGCTGGAAGTGTTAACGCTCCACTTATGGAAATACAGAAAGTTACTTTCTTAATACTTATCAAACCGGGATTTTATTAGGCACCCCTAATAGTTTGGTATTAGTAGTCATTCGAAATGCGCCAGCGTCAATAATGAAAAAGAATTCTAAAGCCACCAGCACTGAGTCTGGAGACGCACCAGGAAGCACGGGGTGAAATGTCATCGGAATAGCTTGAAAATTTTCCAGGTGGAATGCATAAGGTCTCCCAGGCTTGAAACGCTGCAATAATGTGTTTTTATTTTTAAACTAATCCTATGAAAACAAGAACAACTCTCAAGTGATTTCAAACCTTTGAGCAGTAATATGTTGTAAAGATCATTTCAGTGCCATTTTCATAATGACAACTCAAGAAAAAGATGAACTTCTGACCCAAAAAATGCTGGTGGATCAGGTGACTAGCTCAAAAATGTCATTTATATTGTTTTGAGCATCATTTTTAAGTGTCGTGTATTTTTATTTCATTTTCCTACGATTTCAAAACAAAATGTACATTTTTGTAGACAGTAAAGTGATATTAGAACAGTGTTTATTTGAGGAGGGGCGTAGCCAGAGTGATGCACCTCTGTGCTTCTTGGGATGTAAGCAAGAACTCGGATAAATGAGATAAGAGAGAACAAAGCATGTGGTGAATTATGGGACACCGCAGTTTCCCAAGCTGGTCTGTCTGTCAAAACCATAGTGGAGCCCCTTAGGGACTATTTCCAATGTCAATGCAATGTAATGCATCTTCTGCCACTAAGTAGTGACTGGAGGCTTCTCTGTGACAGAGTACAGAAAGGGATACCCAAGGCATGAGCCCACAAAGTCATTCTGTCATCTGGCGAGAGCTTCAGTATGTGATCACTGCAGCTGCCAGTAAATGTCTCAGAGGAGAAGAAATTGTGCGTAATCCCCAGAGGATACTGAACTAACTTTGACTGACAGTTCAATAGAAAAGTAAGATCTGTACTTTATGTAACAGTGTGTGTTTGGTTTGGACAGCGACGGTTGACTTGTGTCTTCTGTCACATGTATACACACAACTATTTCTAAGAAGGAGATCATTTAAAACTGTATAGCCTGCTGCGTCTGCAATATAGATTATGATCTCTGCAGTTTCATCTGTGTGCTGTCATAACATCAAATGTCAGATGTCACTGGAGGTTTAATCTGAGTAGGATTATCTAGCTCAAGATAACAATGCCTTGTAACTGAGTTTTGGTTGGAGTTCTGAACTTACGAGTAGAACATTCGGATTCATCAGTCTGGTTTTTATTCATGTTTTTGAGTAATGACTAAACAGGATTTGTCTAAACACTATGACCCTAAAATTCAAGAAACACTTTCAGACAACAGGCTGTCCAGGAAACTCACCATCTATGAAGACAATCATATCCTGAAGCACTTAAGAAGAAGCAATGCCGTGTGTTTTTTTTATCCTCGTGTGTTGTACCAGGTGTTGTGCAGAGAGAGCATTTCTGGGAGTCGCTGTTACTGGGAGGTGGACTGGAAGGGGACAGAGATCGACGTGGCCGTTACCTACAGGGGAATCCGCCGCAGAGGCAGTGGAAACGAGTGCAGTCTGGGCTGGAACGACAAGTCCTGGAGTTTGTACTGCTCTGATGCTAAATACACCTTTGTGCACAACAGTAAAAGCACCGACATCTTTGGTTTGACGTCGTCTCGCATCGGTGTCTATCTGGACTACATAAATGGGACGCTTGCCTTCTACAGTGTTCCTGATGGCATGAGACTCCTGCACAAAGTCCAGACCACGTTCAGAGAGCCTGTCTACCCAGCTTTCAGTGTGTGGGGCTTTGGATCTAATATAAAGCTGTAACCACAGGTCCCAAGGCATGCATGGGTTTTAGCACAGACTCGAGACATCCCCTATATTTATGGAAAGTTTAGATGCAGGATTTGGTTTTTCACACTTTTTAAAAGTGATTTTTCTATAGCCAAAATATTTTCTCCATTTTGATTGGTGTTAATGGTAAATTAGGTTTGTATATTGTCATTTGTATGTAAAGTAGAATATGAGATTATTATTATTTTGTTGTTCTTTGTATTTTCAAGCATTTACTGCATAAAACATTAAAGCATCTTAGGATTACCATCATGCTGGAAGCTAAGTGTGTGATTCTCTTTAAAAATGCCGCCTGTTACAAAAATGTTAGCTCAAAATCTATTTGATCAAAAATTAGAACCCCCCACCCCCCACCCCCCCAACCCCCCCACCCCCGGTGTCCTGTCTGGCTGTGAAGCAAACAGAATTCATGTCTGAATGCTGGTGACAAGCCAGGTGGAGCATCAAAGCATCTGCTTTTAATGTCATGCCTGATACTTAAAACTTTATTGTTATTGTTTTTGAATGCTAGTAGATGAAGGATTGCACAGATGGCAGCCTGGACACAGCCAATGAACTGAACGAGTTCTTCAATAGGTTCAGTTCAGGAACAAACCCGGCATCCTCCTCGACTGTCCCCAGCCAATCAGACATCCCATTCTCCTCTGATCCAACATTTTCCTGTCACACACCAGCTCTTTTGTCCTCTAACGCAGTCATGGACTCTTCTAGTTCTATAAATCTGTCTTCAACCAAGTCAGGAGATGCTGCTGCCCCATTTCCCTCCCCCTCCCACCTATCTGTCTCTAGAAGTCAGGTGAAGAGGCAGCTGGAGAGACTCAACAGGAACAAGGCTGCAGGTCAATTATATGGTTTACACAGACTTCCCTCTCCCCAGCCACTTCTGGGGGGAATCCCTCCAGCATGTCCTGGGTCTTCCTTTAGGTCTCCTACTTGTTGGACATGCCTGGAAAACCTCACCAGCAAAGAGTACAGGTGGCATCCTAATCAGTTGCCCAAAGCAGTTGAATCAAAGCATATTAAAATGTGCTTGAACAATTTGATCATTTCTTAATACTGTTTGTACTGGAAGAGAGAATGGGAGGGGGTCGTCAAAAAATTTACGGGTAAAAAACGGGGTCCCTTGGGAAAAAGGTTGGGAACCACTGGTATAGAGGTACATTCGTGTTAACTGTTGTTCATTCAAAAACAAATGGACAGATGAACCATAGATCAGGTGAACCATAGATCAGGCGAGGAGTCCAGGATTTGAGCCTTCAACATGACCAAAAACTGGGTTACTTGAATAAGTGGGTTAAGAATAGAAATCCCTCTGCATGTAAACACCAGACAGTGAAGCCTATTTACTGCTCTCCTCCACACCTGGACCACCTCTTCAGCTCTACAAATGAATGCACAAAATGATTAAACACAGAGTTTATTTAAAATGTGTTTACTGTACAGCTGTTACCAACTAAGGCCTATTTTTATCCATTACGTATAAATGAAACCACCAACCTCTTTCTCTCTGTGATGTGGAAGTACTTAACCACAGCTGCTGTTAGGCCCAGAGTACACCCATGAAGTTTTTAGTACAACGGTCTACTCCAACTAGCACTCCAAAACTGTGGCTCTTGTGTTTTTATAAGCAACAAGAATCAAATAGACAAACTTATTTAACAGCATGCCAAACAGTTTTTGGCTCATGTACATGTTTTCATTTTTAGCTATCCACAGAATACATACAAACTGCAAACTACAACAACAGTTTAGTGAGAATAAAAATGTTTTGCCACCTCTGGCTTTAAGCATAATCGCTCCCTTTTGTGTTGTTTGGGAAGAAAAATTCTACTCTGCTTTAATAAAGGCTGGAATTTGTTAAAAAATGAAAAGAAAGGGCAGTGTGTGTGGAACAGCCAGGGTGAAGGTACATGCTTTCATTAAATGACCTACAATAATGGTTATACATGAAATGGCTTCAAAGGAGAGCCTGTGTAATATTAGCTAGGTGGTGTTATCGTCTCTGTGCCTCTTGAACTGCATGTTCTTTTACCAAATGGAAGAGAAATTGAGCTTTTCTGGAAGCGCTAAAAGTCGACATAACATTGTTTTAAGATGATTAAAAAAATTGTTGAGATATGGGAAGGGAGTGGTCAGTGAGTCAAAGATACAACGGAAAACAACAATACTCCACATCCAGTTTCTGTTCTGGTAAGACTCTTTAGTTTGGTCTAATATTTTTTTTCTTTAAACTCACATGAGGTACAATATTAATCCTTTAACTCCAAGAAAAAAATATTTTTTCTTTAGGTCTTTTTTGTTAATGTGACAATGAAGCGTATACTTTAAAGGGAACATGTGCTTTTTTAAAGTTATCAAAGTTCTATGGGTTGTACCAATTCATAAACTTATTTACACAAATTCCATCTCACATAAAGAGGGTTCAGCAACTTTATTCTGGATATTTTCAGCACCCTCCAGAATGAGCTATTTTAGAGCTCTTTCAAACTTTCAAATTTTATTTGGCAACTACTACAGAAAAGCTGAAGAAAATACAAGTGGACGGCTGCACTACTACCTGAATTATTGACTACGTGACAGACCCCAGCTTGTATGACTGAAGCTGTGTGTGTCTAAAAGAGTTAGCAGTACAGGTGCACTGCAAGAGAATACTATACGTTCACCATCTGTCATCACCCGGTACACATCAGACTTGCAGTGACTTGAGAGTCGTGTCGTCTTTGAAAAAAGAATCTATGTACTCGGATGACTGTACAAGTGAGGAGAAAGTCAGTGACAGACGAAAATATGAGCACAGAAACTGGTGGATGGTTTTCTGAGAGAGCGATCATCGAATGTAAAGAAGACTCCATCCAATCATCTATCAATCATCCATCATTTCAAGGGGAATTTTTGAGTTACCATATATTTTCTACCAAAAAAATTCTTCAGCATAATCTCTGTCACTGATAAAATATAAAGATAAGCTCTCTGTAATACTAATACCTGTTGGGAATACTGACAATGCTCAGGGGAAGAAGGGAAGGACATGCAACTTTAAAAGTCGAGGCTTTTTAAGGTTAGTATACATTTTACATAATTAATTGAGAATGATTAGCTGAAAGGCATTTCCTAGAGATGCATAAAAACACATTTGTCGACACAAGAAAAGCCGTAAACATAATTTGCATCATAAAACAACAACATGAAATTCCAATGATCACTTGACTATGACCAAATTGTCTAAATCTTCCTGTAAAACGAAAAGCAAACTTTTACTAATGTAAGCTTGTATTTAAGTGCGACAAAAAATAAAATGTTTTTGCAAAACCTCTGGTCAAGTTCTTTGTTTTCAGTTTTGTTGCTGCCCTCCCAAAACTGCACCATACAGTCAGGTCCATAAATATTGGGACATTGACACAATGCTAACATTTTTGGCTCTATACACCGCCACAATGGATATCAAATGAAACGAACAAGATGTGCTTTAACTGCAGACTGTCAGCTTTTATTTGAGGGTATATACAACCAAATCAGGTGAACGGTGTAGGAATTACAACAGTTTGCATATGTGCCTCCCACTTGTTAAGAGACCAAAAGTAATGGGACAGAAAAAGAACCATAAATGTAACTTATACATTTCATTACTTGGTTGCAAATCCTTTGCAGTCAATTACAGCCTGAAGTCTGGAACACGTAGACATCACCAGACGTTGGGTTTCATCCCTGGTGATGCTCTGCCAGGCCTCTACTGCAACAGTCTTCAGTTCCTGCTTGTTCCTGGGGCATTTTCCCTTCAGTTTTGTTTTCAGCAAGTGAAATGCATGCTCAGTCGGATTCAGGTCAGGTGACTGACTTTGCCATTGCAAAACAGTCCACTTCTTTCCCTTCAAAAACTCTTTGGTTGCTTTTGCAGTATGCTTTGGGTCATTGTCCATCTGCACTGTGAAGCGCCATCCAATGAGTTCTGAGGCATTTGGCTGAATAAGAGCAGCTTAGGTGTGGTCTTGCTGTGTCTTTCTAAATCCATGCTTTCGTTCTTTTTTAAACACAGAAACAGTTTTGTTTACCTGTTTGTAGCTACAGTTTCGCCGACGGCTGCCGGCTTCTTCAGGCTGACGCTGATGGTGGCGCGTCACTTCCTTCTCCGTTTATCTGCGGGCAGCAGAGGACGTTGTCGCCCTCTACTGCCCGCTCTCCCCTCTCCGACGATGCAGTCCCATGCGTGGTCCAGCGTGTAAACTCCGTCGTCCCTGTTCATGGTCCCACATCCACGTCTCCTTATCTCGATTGCCTGAAGAAGCCGGCAGCCGTCGGCGAAACTGTAGCTACAAACAGGTAAACAAAACTGTTTCTGCGTTTAAAAAAGAACGAAAGCATGAATAAGAGCAGACAATATTGCCCGAAACACTTCATAATTCATCGTGCTGCTTTTGTCAGCAGTCACATCATCAATAAATACAAGAGAACCAGTTCCACTGGCAGCCATACATGCCCACGCCATGGCACTTCCAGCACCATGCTTCACTGATGAGGTGGTATGCTTAGGATCATGAGCAGTTCCTTTCCGTCTCCATACTCTTCTCTTCCCATCACTCTGGTACAAGTTGATCTTGGTCTCATCTGTCCATAGGATGTTGTTCCAGAACTGTGAAGGCTTTTTTAGATGTTGTTTGGCAAACTGTTATCTGGATTTCCTGTTTTTGGGGCTCACCAATGGTTTACATCTTGTGGTGAACCCTCTGTAGATTCTTCTCTTGATTGTTGGCTTTGACACAGACACACCTACCTTCTGGAGAGTGTTCTCGATCTGACCAACTGTTGTGAAGGGTGTTTTCTTCACCAGGGAAGGGATTCTTCGGTCATCCACCACAGTTGTTTTCCGTGGTCTTCCGGGTCTTTTGGTGTTGCCGAGCTCACCGGTGCGTTCCTTCTTTTTGAGAATGTTCCAAACTGTTGTTTTGGCCACGCCTAATGTTTTTGCTATCTCTCTGATAGGTTTCTTTAATTTTTTCAGCCTAATGATGGCTTGCTTCACTGATGGTGACAGCTCTTTGGATCTCATCTCGACAGTTCACAGCAACGGATTCCAAATGCAAACAGCACACTTGAAATGAACTCTGGACCTTTTATCTGCTCATTGTAATTGGGATAATGAGGGAATAACACACACCTGGCCATGGAACAGCTGAGAAGGCAATTGTCCCATTACTTTTGGTCCCTTAACAAGTGGGAGGCACATATGCAAAGTGTTGTAATTCCTACACCGTTCACCTGATTTGGATGTAAATACCCTCAAATGAAAGCTGACAGTCTGCAGTTAAAGCATATCTTGTT